TATAAATTTAAAATCCTATGCCATAATACCCAAAGAAACCCTAAGCCGTAAAAACCCCTAAACAGTAAAAAACCATAACAGTCTTGAAAAACCCTTTTAAAATGCTAAACCTAAAAAATTCAACAAAAAATTTAGCCTTAAACCTTAAAATCCCTTGGATAAAAACTTAAACCTTATACCCAAAGAAATTTTAAACCCTTCCGCCTAAACCTTAGGGCTAAACCCTAAGAAACCCTAAACTCTATGAAATAAATGAAACCCTAAAAAACTTTTAAAACCCTAAACTTTTAAAAACCCAAAACCCTATAAATCCCCTAAGATCTAAGAACCCCTTAATCGTTAAAATACCATAGAAATCCTAAACACCTTAAAACCCTATACTTAAATATTCCTCTAAACCTAATAAAACACTAGAAATTGAATGTGATGCTTCAGGTGTTGGTATAGGTGGTGTGTTGATGCAAGAAGGAAAACCATTAGCTTTCTTTAGTGAAAGTTAAAGGGAGCTACACTCAAGTACTCAACTTATGACAAGGAATTGTATGCACTTGTGCGAGTGTTGGCTCATTGGCAACACTACTTGTGGCACAAAGAGTTCGTGATAAGGACCGATCATGAGTCTATGAAGCATCTCAAGGGTCAATCCAAGTTGAACCAGCGACATGCTAAGTGGGTTGAATTCATTGAAACGTTTCCATATGTGATCAACTACAAGCAAGGCAAGGAAAATGTGGTAGCGGATGCTCTATCACGAAGGTTTGTATTGGTCAATACCTTGGTTTCTAGAATGATGGGGTTTGAAAGCTTAAAGGGATTTTATTCTATGGATTCCGACTTCAAAGATACCTTTGATAATCTTAGTCAAGGGAAGCGAGTTGATAGTTACCAATTGGTTGATGGTTTCTTGTTCAAAGATGGCCGAGCATGTGTTCCCATGAGCTCATGGAGAGAGTTATTTGTCAAGGAGGCTCATAGTGGTGGTTTGATGGGACACTTTGGGGTACCAAAAACACTTGATATTCTTAAGGAGCAGTTCTTTTGGCCCAAGATGAAGCATGATGTGGAGAGGATTTGTGGACAATGTCTAGAATGTAAGCAAGCCAAATCCACGACTAGGCCCCAAGGTAAGTATACTCCTCTTCCTACTCCAAATGGTCCGTGGATAGATATTTCTATGGACTTTGTGTTGGGACTTCCTAGGACTAAAAGAGGACATGATAATATATTTGTGGTAGTGGATAGATTTTCTAAAATGGCTCATTTTATTCCATGCCATAAATGTGATGATGCATCCCATGTAGCATCTTTGTTTGTTATCAATGTGCTTAAATTGCATGGAGTCCTCAAACCATTGTTAGTGATAGGGACTCCAAGTTTCTTAGTCATTTTTGGAAGAGTCTATGGGGTACACTTGGTACCAAACTTATGTTCTCTACTTCTTGCCATCCTCAAACGGATGGACAAACTGAAGTAGTCAATCGGACTCTTGGAAGCATGCTTCGATGCATGATTAGAGGAACCCCAACTACTTGGGAAGACCGTTTACCCTTGAGTGAATTTGCATATAATCGGTCTTTCCACTCCTCTATTGGAATGTCTCCATTTGAGGCATGTTATGGTTTTAAACCTTTGTTTCCATTAACCATGATTCCTTTGTCTAGCAATGTTGTTGTGAGCCTAGATGCCAAGAAAAGGGCAAAGGAGATGATGAACATTCATGCCAAGGTCAAAGAGGCCATTGAAAAGAACAATTCAAAGGTGGCCATTCGAAAGAATCGAGGGAGAAAGGAAGTGATCTTCAATCCAGATGATTGGGTGTGGGTGCATTTCTGAAAGGAGAGGTTTCCACAAGTACGAAAAGGGAAGCTAAGCCCAAGAGGGAATGGACCCTTCAAAGTACTCAAGAGAATCAATGACAATGCTTACATGATTGACCTACCAAGTGAGTATAATGTTCATAATGTTTTCAATGTTAGTGATTTGTCTCCTTGTGTTGTAGGTGATCCTTTGGATTCGAGGACGAATCATTTTCAAGAAGGGGAGGATGATAACATGGGCAGCATGGATGACACTAACATGAGTTGCATATACCCCTCAAGACCATTCACACGGAGTCAAGCAAAGGATCTCCAAGGCCTACAAGCAATGTTCATGAAAAGGGAAGCATTAGAGGAGCTTGAATGTCACCAAAGAAAAACATACAATGTGTGTAAGGTACACCAAAATGAGAAGGAAGAAGGAAAGAGGCCATGTGTGGAAATGACCATTTCATGAATTCAAGAATTCATAAAAGAAGGCAACCAAACAAGACCCTTATCTCATTAAGGGTAAAATTGTCAAAAAGTGTCTTGTTTATTTTTTTAGTATAAATAGTAGTCTCTTTTATTTTGGGAAGACTTAGACTATATTGAATATTGACTCTCAAATTATAGTATCTTCTTAGTGAGTAATTAGGGTGAACTCTTGGGATTGCTTGTTAACTTCTTGTGTTTGATTAATCAAAGTGTTACCCCTTTGTGATTCTTGGTTTCATTTGATTATTCTTCTTTGGGTTGAATTTAGGTTGTTGAAGTCAATTGGGAGGTGAGGGTTTTAGTCCCTTGTTGCCCATAATTTTAATAACTTGAGTATTAATCCACATATCTTTTCTTTCTTTATTCCTTTCCTTCCTTGATCGTTATCATTTGGTATCAAGAGCCTAGGTTTAGATTTGTTCTTACAAATCTAGTCTTGGTTTTAAAAAAGAGTCCAAAAAAATTGTCAAAAAAAAAAAATGATTTTTTTTTATTTTGATTTATTGTTTTTGACACTAGATTCTTGTTCCCTAGTGTTTTTTGAGTCTAGGTTTCAAATTTTGTTCAATTTGGAGTTGTAGAAGTGAAGTTACCATTGAAGGGTTTCAAGCTTTTCAAACTTTTCAAATTTTAAAAATGGGTCATTTGATTGAGGAGAAATTGAAGGTTAATAATTAGTGGGCTTTGTTCTCTTAGTTGAAGGGAAGAAAATCCTAAATTTTGAGCCAATTTCAAGTTGATTTGAGTGTATTAGGGTTTAGTGTGTGTTCTTGGTGTTCTATGTGTTCTTGGTGTCTTCAACTTGGTCTTGAAAAAGAAGAAAGAAGAAAGTACATTTGATCCAACTTTTCAAGTCAAAGTTGGTCAAAAGTGTTTTTTTTTTTGGGTCCATTAGTGGAATTTTAAAAAAAAAAAAAATGAAATCTGAAAAAAAAAAGAAAAAAAAAAAGTGCCACGTGGACCGACACATCAGCAGCCAGCGCAGCAGACAACCTGCCAGCGACGCCCAGTCGCACCTGACGCGCGTGTGCGTCAGTTTCAGAGACCAAAAACCTGCAGATTTTTTTTAAGACCCCAAAAATATTCTAAGTATGGAAGTTTTTTGGACCTAGAAAATTTTCTAAGTGTCCAAACTTCGTGATTCTTTTTCTAACATTTTTCCCTTCAATTCCTCAACTATTTAACAATTAATTATCATCTTTAATTACTTGTTAACTAGTTTTAATCATCAAATGATCCAATCAAAGTCTTACAAGTGATGGACTTCTTTGAGGCATAATTTTTTTTCTAAGTGTCCAAATTCACTTCTTTTTCTTCTAAACTCATTTTTCTTCTAATTTTAAGCTATTTAACAATCAATTAACATCTTTAATTACTTTTAACTAGTTTTTAATCATTAAATCTTTTATTTGATCCTTCAAAGTAAGTAACAAGAAGTAATTCTTCTACTTTTGTTACTTGGTTTATTTTGAGTCCGACTTTTTTGGTACTTCTTTCTTCTACTTTATCCATCTTAATTCGTTGATAACCTTCTTGATTCAAGTCCGTTAGTTTTTTTCTTTTTCTTTTTTTTGGGTCGTCCTTCTTTCAAGAGTCGCAAGAATCCACTCCATCACAAAGGATAGGTGGTCTTGAGTTGATTGAACCGAGCTAGTTCACTATCAATTTTGAGACGACACCATAGAAGGTGAGTTGAGAGCTACATACGAGTGACGTGAGGCTTTTCTACTAATCTCGTTTGTTGAGTTTTGTAGGTATCATGTCTAATACAAGTCCAATTGGGGAGAGCTCGGAGAACATCATGGAGGTTCTCGCCAACATCTCTAAGCAAGTAGCGGAAATGAATGGAAGGATGGGAGGTATGGAGGAAAGGTTGGTACGGGTGGAAAATGAGAATAGAAGGAAAGCAATTCAACCCGAATATGAGGAGATAAGGAGGGCATCGGTGCATTCCACCATCCTTGCTCCGGGACAAGCTCATAATCTATGTTCTCCTCCACAAAGCCGAACCCGAAACTACCAACGCCCCACTTTCCAAACTCCCAACCCTCCAAACCACCTAAGACAACCTATGCCACATCCAAATCCACAACCCTATCACCCGCCACATGAGAATCTTCCTTTTGTGGCCAACCAAGTCCAATACCAAACACCATTTCGAAATGATTCAAATGCATATTTTCATAAACCTACATCACATTCACAAAATGCACCACAAATGCCCTACCAAGACTACCAATACCAAAATCCTCTCTATGATGAAATTCATGAGTAGTTCAATAATGATGAGTTTTGGGAGCTTAGGGGTAGGGATGGAAATGGAGTACGAAGGGAAGGAGTACGACCTCGGGACTTGGGGTGGGACCAAGGCATAGGAGATCAAGAATATGGGAATAGAGGAGATAGAATGGGATATAGAGGAGATAGGATGGGATATAGAGGCGATAGGATGGGAAATAGAGGAAATAGATTTAGGGAGAGGAATGATCATCAAGATAGGGGCTTGAACACTATCAAGGTCACACTTCCAAGGTTCAAAGGAAGTAGTGACCCCGATGAGTTCTTGGAATGGAAAATTCAAAGTGAGCGAAGTATGCTCTCACGCAATTTGAGGGGTACGCATCAACCTGGTGGGAGTCCAAGAGGAGGGAAAGGGAGAGCCATCATAACTACGAGTTACCTACTTGGCAAGAGTTGATTGCACTTATGGAGTTGAGATACTTGACTCCAAACTACTATCAAGAGGTGCTCAAGAAGGTGTACATGTTGAGGCAAGGTACCAAAACTGTGGAAGAATGTTATGATGAGTTTGAGAACTTGCGGATGAAGTCTAAAATTGAAGAGAATATGGAATGTACGGTGATACGATTCGTGGCAAACTTGAGGTATGATATCTTGAAGCCCTTGAAGCTTAAGCACTATGAGACTCTTGAAGCGGCTTTCCATGATGCCTCAAAGGTAGAAGCAGATTTGAAAGAAGAAAAGTCATACAAGGCCAAAAATTCTTTAACTTCCACATGGAGCAAAAGTAGAGATAATTGGAAGACGACATCCTTTAGGGAGCAACCTAAAGGTGGAGGTCAAGTTGCCCAAGTCAAGCTTGATTACAAATCCAAGGCAAGTGAGCAACCACAAGGAGGTAACTATGTTAAACCTAACTTTCCTCGACCCTCTACAATTCAATGCTTTAGATGCCAAGGGAGGGGACATTTTGCTAGTGAGTGTCCAAATAGGAGAACAATTGTTTCTCTTCGTGATGGATATAAGACTGAAGATGAAGATGAGGGTGCAGAAAAAAATGAGGGAGAGGGAGATAGGGGTGAAGGAGAGGAAGGTGCTTCAGGGGATGAAGAAGAAAGGTTGGACGAGAGGGTGAATTTTGCTTGCTTCATGAAGAAGGGAAAGTCTTTGCTTGATGATGATGAAGACTTGAACATGAATGTCAATCTTTCATGTGTTGTGAGAAGAATTATGGGAGCCCTTGCAAAAGAAGAACTTGACCAAAGGGAGAATCTACTTCATGCTAGGTGCAAAATCCAAGATAAAGTGTGTTCTTTAATCATTGATAGCGGGAGTTGCACCAATGTGGTGAGTAGTTCCTTGGTGGAGCGTATGAAAATACAAACCAGCAAGCATCCCAATCCTTATAAGCTACAATGGCTCAACGAGAGTGGAGAGATGAAGGTCCTCAAACAAGCAAGTATTCGGTTTAGTGTGGGAAAGTACAATGAAGAATTGGTTTGTGATGTGGTTCCCATGTTGGCATGTCACCTACTGTTGGGGAGACCTTGGCAATTTGATAGAGATGTTGTGCACCAAGGGAGATCCAACAAATACACTTTTGTGGTTGAAGGTAAAAAGTATGTGCTTGCACCTCTCACTCCATATCAAGTGAGTGAGGACTATCGGGCTATGAAGGAGCTTCGAGAGAGAATAAAAGACGAGGCGGCAACAGGTGAAGGTGAAAGTTCCACCATTGTTCCAAAGGAGGGGAGTGCCTTGGTTAAAAATAATAAGAACATGTGCATGATAGCAAAGCCAAGCAAGTGTTTAAAGGGTGTGGATGAGGAATGCTTTCTAGTGTGCCTTGTCAACACCAACCTTTTGTTACATGCTAACCAAGATACTAGCACTTTGCCTAGTATTATTTCTTCTCTTTTGCAGGGCTATGATGAGCTATTTCCAGATGAGATGCCTGCTGGATTACCACCCTTGAGGGGAATCGAGCACCAAATAGATTTTATACCGGGTTCACAAATCCCCAATCGTCCAGCTTATAGGAGTAACCCGGCAGAAACCAAAGAGCTATCAAGGCAAGTGGAAGAGCTTCTTAAGAAGGGGTTGATCAAAGAAAGCCTAAGTCCTTGTGCCATACCGGTAATTCTTGTTCCCAAAAAGGTTGGCACTTGGAGAATGTGTATTGATTGTAGAGCCGTAAATAAGATCACGGTGAAGTATCGACATCTCATTCCTCGACTTGATGATATGCTTGATGAGCTATGTGGTTCTAGTATTTTCTCCAAGATTGACCTTCGAAGTGGGTATCATCAAATTCGTATGAAACCGGGTGATGAGTGGAAGACGGCCTTCAAGACAAAGTTTGGGCTGTATGAATGGCTTGTGATGCCATTTGGATTGACGAATGCCCCAAGCACTTTCATGAGATTGATGAACCATGTTCTCAAACCCTTCATCAACAAGTTTGTTGTGGTGTATTTTGATGACATACTTGTGTATAGTAAGACAATGGAGGAACATGTATCCCATTTGAAACAAGTGTTTGATGTCCTACTACGAGAGCGTCTCTTTGCTAGTTTCAAGAAATGTTCATTTTGTGTTGATAAAGTTGTGTTTTTGGGTTTTGTGGTTAGTGCAAATGGGATTGAGGTTGATGACGAGAAGGTGGAGTCCATCAAGACTTGGCCGACCCCAACCAGTGCAACTGAGGTAAGAAGTTTTCATGGGTTAGCAAGTTTTTATCGGCGATTTGTGAAGGGCTTTAGTTCAATTGCTGCTCCTTTGACCGAACTGATCAAGAAAGATGTACCTTTCGTATGGGGTGAGAAGCAGGAGAAGTCTTTTCAAGCCTTGAAATTGATGTTGAGTTCTGCACCCTTGCTCCAACTACCCAACTTTGACAAGGCCTTTGAAATTGAATGTGATGCTTCAGGTGTTGGTATAGGTGGTGTGTTGATGCAAGAAGGAAAACCATTAGCTTTCTTTAGTGAAAAGTTAAAGGGAGCTACACTCAAGTACTCAACATATGACAAGGAATGTATGCACTTGTGCGAGTGTTGGTTCATTGGCAACACTACTTGTGGCACAAAGAGTTCGTGATAAGGACCGATCATGAGTCCTTGAAGCATCTCAAGGGGCAATCCAAGTTGAACCAGCGACATGCTAAGTGGGTTGAATTCATTGAAACATTTATAACCCTAAAACAAAAATCTCGAAAACAAACCTTAAAAACCCCAAGAAAATTCCTTAATCTAAAACCCCAAGTCCTTAGCCCTTAGAGATCATATATCGTAAAAACAATAATGATCCCAAAAAATCTTTAACAATCCTAGATTGAAAAAAACTCTTGACCGAATTTTTTTTAGAAAAACTTAAGCTCTAAACCCTAACCTAAAAACCCTTAACCAAAAACCTAAACTCTTCTTAATCATGTTCAGATTATATCATTGTTCAATATGCTCTATTCAGTTACATATATTTGTTCAGATTTATCATGTCATGCATGCTCAGAATCTTTCAACTACTGATACATAGTCTACGCTACATCTTCTCTTGATGTAGGTTCAGGTCCTTAGCATTCAGATCACGCGGAGATCGGTTACCAATCCGTATTCAGCAATATCAGTGGTGAGTCCTCGTTTTTCGAGGATGATTTACACATTTTATATTCAGTCTTTCATTTTAGTTTCAGTTTTGCTAGAGTTAGCTGGGGGGATGTCCCAACATCTCTAGTCAGTTAGGGGCTTTTATTCATACATTGTTTTTGTCACTCCCCGAGGTTACCCACTTGACGTAACACGAGACCTAGGATCACGAGTGACGCCAAGATCACCTTGAGGTGGCATATCATATGCATATTAGATCAACACCTTTAAAATCCTAAACCTAAGAAATCTGAAATCCCTAACAAACCCTTAACCCTAAGTAATACTAAACCCTAAACTTTAGGTTAACCCCAAGACTTATGAAACACCAACAAACCCTAAAGCCTAAAAACAACTTTAAAAAACACTAAACCTAAAAACACCCTTATAATCCCTAATCCCTAAAAACTATAAATTTAAAATCCTATGCCATAATACCCAAAGAAACCCTAAGCCGTAAGAACCCCTAAACAGTAAAAAATCATAACAATATTGAAAACCCCTTTTAAGATGCTAAACCTAAAAAATTCAACAAAAAATTTAGCCTTAAACCTTAAAATCCCTTGGATAAAAACTTACACCTTATACCCAAAGAAATTTTAAACACTTCCGCCTAAACCTTAGGGCTAATCCCTAAGAAACCCTAAACTCTATGAAATAAAAGAAACCCTAAAAAACTTTTAAAACCCTAAACTTTTAAAAACCCAAAACCCTATAAATCCCCTAAGATCTAAGAACCCCTTAATCGTTAAAATACCATAGAAATCCTAAACACCTTAAAACCCTATACTTAAATATTCCTCTAAACCTAATAAAACACTAGAAAATCTTAAGCCCAAAACCTTATATCCTAAAAACCCTTAAAAAAACCAAACCCTAAGAAATCTTAAACACTAAATAATATACCCTAAGAAACTCTAAATCCTTAACTCTAAATCATAGGGCTAAACCTTAAACCCAAACCATATGGAATCCTAAGAAACTCTAAACCCTAAAATCCATTTAAACACCTACAACTATAATACCCGAAAATAAACCCTTTAAAACCATAAGCCCTAGAAAAAACCCTAAACTTAAAATCCTATACCATATATTAGGACTACGTAACCCTAAATCTTAATAATCCAATTTCTTAAAAATACCTAAGAAACCCTAAAACATTTAAAAACCTTAATCATAAAAATCATAAACATAAAAAAAAACCATAAACTCTAAAAAACTCTTAACCTAAAATCCGAAGCCCTAAATCCTAAACCAAGAAACTCTAAGAAACTCTAAATCTTAAACCCTTATAAACCCTAATACCCTAAAACCTATGATCCTAAACCCTAAAAAATCACTAAGAAAACCTAAACCTAAAAATCACAAAGGAAGCCTAAACACTAAAAAACATAAAAAAAAAACTTAAAAACCCCTAAACCTAAAGAACAATAAATCCCAAACTCTAAACCTTGAACCCTAACCCTTAAAAATCATAAGCCCAAAACCCAAACCCTAAGAAAGCCCCAAACCCTAAACCTAAAAAAGTACTAAGAAACCCAAAACCCTAAAAAACAATAATGAAAAGCATAAAAAACATTAAAACCTAGAAAACCTCTAAAAAATCTTAAACCTAACAAACCTGAACCCTATTCTAGAAAATCCCTAAACTTAAAACAATAAACCCCACACCTTAAATGACCCAAAAAAGATCTAGGAAACCATAAATATTCAATTCGAAACCTAAGAACCTAAACCCTAAACCTTAGGGATAAACCTAAGACTTATGAAACTCTAAGAGCCCTAAACCATAAGAAATCCTAAATCCTAAGCAAAACTAAACACTAAAAAACTACAAAAAAACCTTTAAAAACTCTAAACCTAAAAAATATTAAACCTAACAAACCTTAACTCTAAACCATAGAAAAACCTAAACCTAAACACTAAACCCTACACCCTAAATGACCTAAAAAAAACCTAGGAGACCTTAAATGTTAAACTCAAACCCTAAAAAACCAAAACCCTAAACCTTAGGGATAAACCCCTAACCCTAAACCTTATGAAACTCTAAGAAGCCCTAAATCCTAAGAAAAGATAAACACTAAAAACCTTTAAAACCTAAACACTAAACCCTACACCCTAACGGACCCAAAAAAAACCTAGGGGACCTTAAATGTTAAACTCAAATCCTAAGAAACTTAAACCCTAAACCTTAGGGATAAACCCCCAACCCTAAGCCTTATGAAACTGTAAGAAGCCCTAAACCCTAAGAAATCCTAAATCCTAAGAAAGCAAAGTACTAAAAACCTTTATAACCCTAAAACTAAAAATCTGAAACAAACCTTAAAAACCCTAAAAAATTCCTTAATCTAAAACCCCAAGTCCTTAGCCCTTAGAGATCATATATCGTAAAAACAATAATGATCCCAAAAAATCTTTAACAATCCTAGATTGAAAAAAACTCTTGACCGAATTTTTTTTAGAAAAACTTAAGCTCTAAACCCTAACCTAAAAACCCTTAACCAAAAACCTAAACTCTTCTTAATCATGTTCAGATTATATCATTGTTCAATATGCTCTATTCAGTTACATATATTTGTTCAGATTTATCATGTCATGCATGCTCAGAATCTTTCAACTACTGATACATAGTCTACGCTACATCTATTCTTGATGTAGGTTCAGGTCATTAGCATTCAGATCACATGGAGATCGGTTACCGATCCGTACTCAGCAATATCAGTGGTGAGTCCACGTTTTTCGAGGCTGATTTACACGTTTTATATTCAGTCTTTCATTTTAGTTTCAGTTTTGCTAGAGTTAGCTGGGGGGATGTCCCAACATCTCTAGTCAGTTAGGGGCTTTTATTCATATATTGTTTATGTCACTCCCCGATTTACCTATTTGACGTAACACGAGACCTAGGATCACGTGTGACGCCAAGCTCACCTTGAGTTGGCATATCATATGCATATTAGATCAACACCTTTAAAATCCTAAACCTAAGAAATCTGAAATCCCTAACAAACCCTTAACCCTAAGTAATACTAAACCCTAAACTTTAGGTTAACCCCAAGACTTATGAAACACCAACAAACCCTAAAGCCTAAAAACAACTTTAAAAAACACTAAACCTAAAAACACCCTTATAATCCCTAATCCCTAAAAACTATAAATTTAAAATCCTATGCCATAATACCCAAAGAAACCCTAAGCCGTAAGAACCCTTAAACAGTAAAAAATCATAACAATCTTGAAAACCCCTTTTAAAATGCTAAACCTAAAAAATTCAACAAAAACTTTAGCCTTAAACCTTAAAATCCCTTGGATAAAAACTTACACCTTATACCCAAAGAAATTTTAAACCCTTCCGCCTAAACATTAGGGCTAAACCCTAAGAAACCCTAAACTCTATGAAATAAAAGAAACCCTAAAAAACTTTTAAAACCCTAAACTTTTAAAAACCCAAAACCCTATAAATCCCCTAACATCTAAGAACCCCTTAATCGTTAAAATACCATAGAAATCCTAAACACATTAAAAGCCTATACTTAAATATTCCCCTAAACCTAATAAAACACTAGAAAATGTTAAGCCCAAAATCCTATATCCTAAAAACCCTTAAAAAAACCAAACCCTAAGAAATCTTAAACGCTAAATAATATACCCTAAGAAACTCTAAATCCTTAACTCTAAATCATAGGGCTAAACCTTAAACCCAAACCATATGGAATCCTAAGAAACCCTAAACCCTCAAATCCATTTAAACACCTACAACTATAATACCCGGAAAACAAAACCCTTTAAAACCATAAGCCCTAGAAAAAACCCTAAACTTAAAATCCTATACCCTATATTAGGACTACGTAACCCTAAATCTTAATAAATCTAATTTCTTAAAAATACCTAAGAAACCCTAAAACATATAAAAACCTTAATCATAAAAATCATAAACATAAAAATAAACCATAACCTCTAAAAAACTCTTAACCTAAAATCCGAAGCCCTAAATCCTAAACCAAGAAACTCTAAGAAACTCTAAATTTTAAACCCTTATAAACCCTAATACCCTAAAACCTGTGATCCTAAACCCTAAAAAATCACTAAGAAAACCTAAACCCTAAAAATAACAAAGAAAACCTAAATAATAAAAAACATTAAAAAAAAAACTTAAAAACCCCTAAACCTAAAGAACAATAAATCCCAAACTCTAATCCTTGAACCCTAAACCCTTAAAAATCAGAAGCCCAAAACCCAAACCCTAAGAAAGCCCCAAACCCTAAACCTAAAAAAGTACTAAGAAACCCAAAACCCTAAAAAACAACAAAGAAAAGCATAAAAAACATTAAAACCTAGAAAACCTCTAAAAAATCTTAAACCTAACAAACCTGAACCCTATTCTAGAAAATCCCTAAACTTAAAACAATAAACCCTACACCTTAAAAGACCCAAAAAAGACCTAGGAGACCTTAAATG